ATTAACACAAATTCCTTCCCCTTGAAGAGAAACGAGCTGTCATTTTAGCAATGTTGCTGCATCAGCCTTTCTATTGTCAAACACAACAAATGATGAGAAAATCAATTTACTCTTTAGAATTAGTCAAGTGAGGAATCCTTTGAAGTGGGGGTGCAGGGTTTTGCTTGGGTCCTATAGTCACATAAAAGCGAGTACTGTATATATGTTGGTAAAACGTGAAATGTAATAAGGACTATTTGTTGCCATAGACGTTACAGACAGAATCTATCTCTGAAAAAGAATTCCCCACTCCTAAAACAGACATTTGATGACCAACAGATGTGGTTTACACGAACCCTTGTTCAGCCGAACTAAGAATATATTTTGATCTGTATGAAGCACGGTCCAGAAAAGAGGAAGTGACTATGGCGCAGCCTCAGTGTGGAGATCGGTTGTGGAGTTCGAATATATTTATTTACCCCATAAAGCTTCTCTCACATGGTTTAATGAAAATGAACATGTAACTGATAGTTTCTAAGGATTGGAGGATGCCATACGTGCAAGTGTCGGAGATGCCATACGTACTGCTTGTGACAGAATTTACAATTTTTTTGTAGCCTTAAGAAGGTGGAGAAAAGCAATTCGCTGGATAGCTACAATCTTCAGAGTGATGTATGTTCTGGCAATGATTCTCAAGTTCCACAACTTAGTTCCCCCACTCATTAAGGGACGATTAGATCATTGTTTGAGAATGACAAGCATTTAATATTCGGAATGATGAAATAATGAAGTGCCCAGATTCTATAGAAATGCTGAGGAGAAAAGAAGATTAATTTCAAGCCAGAATCTAGTACAAACATGACCTTCCTATGGCAAATCTTGTGAATAGGAAAAGAAATTACATCTAAAGCTTTGTTTAGAGGGCTGAAAATTTGAAAATACATTAATGCTGGGATTTTTCAGATGGAATAAAAAGACGCGTTTGTTATATCTTGTCTGTGGAGATGAGAAGAATTCTTTCTGCTCCCTTTAACTGAAAGAATGTGGTTAGTAAAGATTTAAAAGACGGCCATGGAAGAGTCAGTTTTGTATTCCTTTGCCTTTAGGCGTGACGATAGTTAAACCATCTCAGAAAGAGAACCATGCTTTGCTCTCAAAAAATCTCCTGGCGTAATGATAAAAATTAAAAAGAGCAGATGGGAAAGCTTAGGGACCTTGCAATTAATAAAGGTCAGTTCTGGCTGACACCGTTTCAGTCAAAATTCATTTCTATTTGCGAACAGCCTGACTCTTAGCAAAACTACAAAGGACGTGGTGATATTTGGTACTAGTTCTCTGAAATGCCATGTAGTATTAGTATTAATGTCTGGTCATCGTTTTGACCGTCTCCTTGTCACCTCATTGCCTGAGGGGTCTGGGATGACCAAACACAGGACATCCGACACTGGGCACATGAAATCAACAGTTTATTGGTCACATCTATACTACCTGCCACGTAGGGCCACACAAAGGTTGAATTCAGGAACAGAGTGGACGAAGGGGCTGTGGTGGGGCAGGCTTTGTAGTAACAAGAGGGTGAGGTGTGCCCTGGTTCTCAGGGGAGGATGTGATGGGCTTGTTTCAATGACTGTGTGGGCTGGCGGGGAAGTAAAACCAATTAGGATGAAGACCAGGTGAAGTACAGCTGTTCCAGCTGTAGAGAAACTATCCAGGTGGGGAGTTTCTCCCATTTGGGGGGAGGAGTGAACATCAAGTAAAAGCTGGGGAACTCAACAGGCCTTTGGGGCCCTGTGAAGCTCAAGATGCCAAGGCAGCCCGTGAAATCTTAGGCCATACAAGCCAGTCATCCATACAAACTATATCAGCTTACGGGGTGCTCAGGTTCCTTGCTGTACTTGTCTTTGCCACACCTATTGTCTCATGTAAAAAGTCACTTTTGATGAGATCGATAAACGTGAGGGCATAAGCAGTTTTGTAACAAGAGCACTCACAGGCCAAGGCTATGGAATTAGCTGGATTAACTCATGCAGAAATACCCTTTGCCACTCACTTTGCCTTTAATGAAAAAAGGAAGAGAGCCCTAAATCATCCAGACAAATGACGTATTTAATTCTTCACTTGATTTTAATTTGTCAGCAGGTGAATGTTGACCAACTTCAGAACCACAGCCAAAGGCCAGAAGATGGTCTAGCTTGCCAAAATGAAGATATTTCTGCCTTCCATTTTTCAAGAAAAATACTGTCAGGAAACAATCAGGTCAGACTACTTCTCACTTCCCCTGAGAATTAACAAGTGAGGAGAAGGGAGGGCTGTAGTTCCAGGCAGAGCTTGGGCATGTGAAGTTAATACCGGGCCTGTTTTAAAATCTTGAGCAAGTTTAATCTCTCCAGACTCCAAGTTCTGTACCGTTTTAGGGAGGAAGTTAAAATAGATCAAGAGTATTTAAACAATTTTCTTAGTAGCAAAACCCTTGTTTCAAATGAAATCTAAAGTCACTCTATAAAACAGAAATGAAGCTTCCTTGTTCGAACCCAGTAAATGGAGCCCAAGCTCAATTGACCCGGCTTTCCCCTCACATTTGCTCCTTCCCCCTCATATTCACTCCCTTCCAAGATTTCTGAAGCGTTCCCTTGGACGCCTAGGGTTCCGTGGAACCCAGTTTGAAAACCAGCGGTTGAGCTACTATCCAATGTTCCTTCCAGCTTTCAGCAGAATGGGGGAAAAAAATCATAGATTATGGGGACAGATAGATTTAGGTTCAAATTCTACTTCTGTCACTTCCTAGTCTGTATGGCCAGTTCTCCCATCTGTAAGACAATTGCTAGGTTAAGAATACATGTGAAGACTCTAGCCAGTGCTTGAAACCCAGGGGGACTCGGAAAAGGTAACAGAAACTGAAGGTTATGTCTCCACCTTGAGCTGAACAAAATGAGGGAAGATCGTGTACTTGAACTCCTAACTTGCAATGAGACCTCTGTCATTCCCGAAGCCAAAACCTCAAGACCTTGCAGCTAAAATTCCTCTTTAAAACCTGATTGTTTTTATTGTTCCAAATTAGTGGAGGCGGGAAAATTCTTCTAAGTCGCTGAACATTCTGTATGCCTTGGAGAGCACACACAGTGTAGACACACCCCGAGTCTCTTAAATGACACCGTGGTCGATCCAACCTCCACTGTTGGAATTTCAAGCACGTTGCTTTCATCAAAGAAAAACTGGGGAAATGTCAGTAAGGACGCTTTAATACTAAGCCACGAGAAATTCAGTACCTGATAGCTCACGTCTGATATTTCACCCCGCATCATAAAACAACTCAGCAGAGACGCTGTTGTTCATCTGTTGAGCTGCTGTTGTGATAAGCCTGCATTCTTTCAACAGTGGAGGCGCCCCCACCCCGCCCCGGCCAGGGAAAATGCATCCCAGAAGTCTGTGATTTCTGAAAATCTCACCTTTGGGGAATTTTCCTGGCATTTTATTAAGTTAAGACCCACTTTATAGGTTACTGTCAAGATCTTACGTCCTCAAGGAAGCTGACTCAAAGCTTAGACGCTCCCTGCCACGCTTTATAAAGCTTTCTTATTTTTTTTTTTTAATTTATGAAAATTTCCAAACATACACAAAAGAAAAAGGATACCACAAACTCCCATAAGCCTATTGCACAGCTCCGATATCAATACTGCGGCTTTCACCTGAGCCCATGGAGGTCGCATAGGGCCGCTTTTCACTCCAAGACTGATGGGCCAGGTAAGATCGGGGCAGCTGTCAGTTCCATTCAGCAAACGCGCCTTAAGTGCCTGCTTTAGGCAGGCCCCTGTCCTAGGCCACCTGGGAGAACCGCTGAGAAGCCAGACAACACGTTGGGAATTACGACAGAAAAGCAGAGTCGCCAGGGAGAAAAGGGGGATACTTGGGAAGGCTTTTGTGGGAAAGATGGGGTTTGAACTAAACTGGGAGGAAATGGGAGTGAAGACATTCCGGGCAGAGGAGGGGAGCATAGAAGGGTGGGAAGTGGGGGAACCGCAGGGCCGTTTGAGAGGCCGCCTCATATTCTAACGTGCTGGGGTAGGTGACGCAGCGGAAAATTAGTGTGGAGACCAATGGAAGCATTGAATGCCAGGATGAGGACGTTCCTTACGTGCTGGGGAGCAGTGCCGGGAACAGGGCAGGATAATAACACCCTAAAGAAAACAGGAGGTCCAAAGTCGGGGACCGAGGGTAGCAGAGATGCCCCCAGGTCTGATGTCAAGAATTCGCCGCCTGCGTTCACTGCTCCCACTGGGAAAAGAGCAAAGACGACAGACAGAGGGCTGGCGCTGGCTCGGGGAACTCCCCACAAACCAGCACTAAGAAAACAAGAGACGGGGCGTAAAGAGAAGCGGGCAGGAGCACCTGGTCCGGCTCTAAGACGCATCAGTGTTTACCAAGCACTTGGGCTCTGGAGCGCCCGCCTTTCCAAACACCACATCCTCATGCACTCGGCCCTGCCACAGGCGGCTACTGTGCGGGGTGCCGGGGAGGGGGGCGGGACCGCACGCCTGCAAACCCTGACTTTGTTTGTCTGTTCGGACCCTGGGGAATGCTGCTGTCATCCGGGGAGGGTGTGAGGCTCCCTCCGACTGTGAGGATTTGGTTGAGAGAAAAACTCTACTTCCGCAAGACCGAAATCTCTAGCGGGAAAATCAGCTCTCTGTTTCCTCTGCTCCTCCTCTTCTTGGAAGTGCCTTTTGTTTGTCTGGCAGCCTTGGTTCCATGGGGGTGTGTGATGATAATAATCCCCGGGCTTATATAACCCTCTTCGTCTTGCAAGCACTTGGCAGACGGTCCCTAATGAAACTGCGGGCCGGTGTCAGGCCGGGCGGCCGCAGCGGCGAATAGGAAGCCCCAGGCTGAGGCCCGGAGGCCGGGAGGCCGGGAGGGAGGGCAGCGAGGGTCAGAGGCCGAGCCTTGGCGGCTCCCGCGCCGGGAGGTCAGGGGAGATAAGGGACAATGACTCCCGCCTCCAGGAGGAAGGAGGTCCCGCTGCCACCTTATCTCCGCGCCCCTGCGGGCTCCCAGCGCCCAGAGCTGGTCCTCCGGAGGTGCTGAAGGCGGCTCTCGTAAGTATGATGCTCGGCTTTTTCTTTCTTTTAAGAAGGAAGGAAACAAACTTTTCTCTGCTGCCCTCATCCATTTCGTGGGATTTATTCGCACGGGAGCCGTTTTCCTCAGTCAGATTGTTAGATGATGGAAAGTGAGTTTCTGGCCAAAGTTCTCCACCCAGTTGGGTACCTCCCAAACATCGCAGGAGGGGGAAGTGGTTTCTGGTGATAATTCACTCCAACAAAACAGCGCCCAGGCGAGGTGCGGGGAATCGGCCGCTTTCACTGAGCCCTGGTCCTGGGGACTGGTCCGCACGCACACCTCACCCTAGAGTGCGACCTTGGGCTGTTCACCTGGCTGGTTAGGAGCAAAAACTTCGACCTTCGGTTTCTCTGCCGTCGTGTTCACAATTTCAGACAAATCTAGCTGTTGGAAGCTGCTTTCCCACTCTTGAAATGAATGCCATCTTTCGGTGTAGGCTTGAAACTTGCAGCAGCTGCCGTAAACCCTGTAAAACACTGTGACTGTAGCGGACCTGTGAATTGTTAAGGTTTTCACTGCAGAGCTCAGGCTTCTAAATAGTGGAGGAACACAGACTGGCAAAACCCAAAGCTCTGTTATTACATTTCTGTGAAGAATACTGAATCGACCCAGTGTTTTTCTCAGGGGGTGATGCTCACTGCTTTGAGAAATTGTTTTTCAACAAAAGGAGAATTTAAAACTCGAATAATACTGAGAAAGATATGATTTTGCACACTCAGAAAGTGTGATTTGCTAATTGAACAAGCCAAGAAAATAAAGTGCTGTTTGGGATAGTCATATAATTTGCATTTATAAAACCACGATTATAATTTGTGCGTGATGATATATAGAAAATTATTATCTTTATTTCAGGTAAGGAAACTAAGAAATATGATTTGGTAATGATGTAGAAAAGCAAGACCTCTCACTTTTAGTGACATAAGTGCTATGATTAATCTACTGAGCTTAATTGTCTTTCTCTTTAAATAAACAGATGGCAAACCACATACAACGTGTATGTATAAGCGTGTGCGTATTTTTTAAAATTTGTACACTTGTATCTATCTAACGCTCAGTATTTTACATGGTAGTAATAAATCCAAACACCTCATCCAAATTGGACCAGAATGAAGTAGAGCTATTTATTCATTATTTATCCACCAAACATGGGAAACATAAAAAATTGTGTCTATGTTTAAAAGTCTGTTTAAATGACATTTCCACTTAGACTTCTCTTTGGCTTCAAAGCAATTCTAGGGCACAAGGAAAGTTGAAAATGAGGCTGGATCCTAGTTGCTTTTACCCCTAAATTTAAAAGCGATCTGTCAACACTAACTTCTTTACTCTAGCTAATTTAATTATCAAGATCGGCCACATAACCTCGGCCACATAACCTCAACGTTAGCCTCAAAGGCACACTCAGTCATCGTAGAAGGAACACAAATGCTGATGGGATCCGATTTGAGGACCGTTATTGCCATCACCTGGTTACAGATCTTTAAGATTTTCAGCCTCAGGTTTCACAGCTAGAAGACCAGTACTATTCACCCCAAGGAGAGGATTCCTGAAAGAATTAAAAGGAAATAATGAGTAAAATATCTAGCACAATATCTGAAAACAGCAGTGTTTCAGTCGATTTTAGGGTTTTCCGTTTATTCTATTTTTCATCTTTGATTCAAGTCCTTTGTTTATTGAGTGTCTACTATGTATTGCATGCTCTGCTAAGCACTAGTAGTGATTCAAAGGTGAATAAGATTGATATTCTGCCCTGGAAGGGTTCATAGTCTGAAGAGACAGATCAAAATAGCGGATAATTTTCTTAACAGCATAATACTTGCAAAAATAGCAGTGTGTTCAAGACTAAGTGACAGAATTGAGGCCAGAGCGATTGTCTCTCCTGGTGAAAGTCAAAAAAGGAACTTTCACAAAGATGATGTTGATTGTGTGCCTTTTACAAGCCAGCAGGAGTGTGGAAGGACAGTTCCGAATGAAAGCTTTGGGGAGAGCAGAAGGTGTGAGAAAGCCTGGAGACAGGAACTGGTTTCAATTGGTGCTAGTGTTGATTCTAGGGGGGCTGGAGGTTTAGCCAGGGGCCGGATCTTGGATATTCTGATGCTTCATACTGAGGTGATGCTTCGTACTGAGGTGTTTGGATCTATTGCTCTATTAACTCATACATAGACATGCTCATCCACAAAACATTTTCTTATAGGTTCACATCAATATCAAAGGCTTGGCCTGAAATGTAAGTCAGCTGCATCACTGAACATCGTTTGGTTCAGTAGACTGTGTTGTTTGTTCGCTTGCTTGGTGGTCGCACACCCATCTCAGTGGTGGAAGCATTGTAACACAAACTCCTGACCTCGCCCAGGCCCTGCCCTTCCGGAACCACTCTTTAATCAATGGGGAGATGAGGGAGGACTTTGAATGGGGCTGAGAAGGTGGAGGGAGAATAGATGTGATCCATGTTTTAGGAAGATTTTATGTAGATCACGTAGTATCCGGTCTGGCGTATGGGTTAGGCAAAGGCCAGGGGGTGATAATGCTATAAACTAGGAGACCAGATAAAGGATGGTTATAGCGTGCAAGTGAGAAATGCTGAGGTCCTGAGCAGTGCCAGGGACACTAGGGCACAGATCCAGAGATATTTAGGTAAAACATTCTCATTTTGGGGACTGAATGAACAGAATATAGAAAAAGGAAACATGTATAATATTAGTTTGGGGCTTGGGCAACTGGGTAGCTATAATGGAAACCTGTGAAACAAGGGAAGGGACAAGTTTATAGAAGAAAATTGTGTTAATTGGGACATATGGAGTTGAGATATCAACAAGAGGTTAGATTGCAAGACTGAGTAAAAATCAAAAGTGGTTCATCAAAGAAATGTAAAATTGCCAGGTTTTTCTTGGAAATTTTCAAGAGAAACAAAGTCGGGGCTCTTCCTATTATGCTCCATGCCCCCAAGAAATGTCAATCTCTGGACGCATTGGGCTCTGAGCTTTCATCTTGAATCCCTGCTGTCAATAGATATCTTCCCATTAACTTTTCAAGAGGAAGGCCGAGCCTGGGGGGTCTTGCCAGTAGCTGTGTACTCAAAAAAGAGTGATCTTGACTTCCTCTGAGCCTTCAGAAGTGAGCAGAGAGTAGGACAGGGATCTGTGGCTAGTAGAATACTTGGAAAAGAACACACATTCATAAAGAACGAGTATTCATCAAGAAGCAGTCCTTTCCTTAGTGGAGCTTTTTCACTTCCCTTGAATTGGACGACTCGCCAAGAGACTAAAACAAAGGAGGTGATTTCTTGACCGTTACGTAGCCTACAACCATTTCCTCCTTCTTCATTGTGAGCAGGAAGTTTTTCTCATAGTCTTGAATGGTGCAAAATTGGAAAGGAGGGGTGGGTAACATTTATGAATTTTTAAAAGGTGACAAGTGGAAGAATTTTTGACATTTAGAGTGAATGAATAGAGAGCAATCTGATTAGCAGACAGGAAGCCATGCCTTCTTAAGTCTTTCTTGTCTGATTCCGTGATAACCTTGAGTTCCCTTATACCCTTTTAGCCAATCTCTGCTCAGCACTTAATCTGCTATGGCAAAGCTTCTATTGGCTTTCCTGGAGTTCAGAGTTTTTACTGCACCTAAACACAGCAGAGCAAATACCATTTATTACAAAAAAGGAGCTTAGCCCCAGACCTCGTGGCTAGTTTTGAAACATCGTATAATATTTCTTTCTGAGAGGTAAACTGTATCAACACATTTAAAAACAGATTTAAGAACTTGTTTCTACCTGTAAATAATAGTTTCACCATTCATCACTGTCACCACTATCATAGAAAGACAGTAGTTGGATAAAAAGAGAGAAAAAAGGAGAAAGATAGTATTTGGTTATCATCTGAATTCCATAGGCTTCTGGTAGCTCACTTTGAAATTCCCCAAACTTCAGAAATTATCTTTGGCTTTTGAAATGATGAAAAAGGTTTCTATTTTTTTCTAAAATGCTTGTTTCCTTCATAAAACAAAAAACTGAAAAGTCCCAAAAAAGAACTGTTACTATCTCAGTTCTATAAAATAATCACCAAATATAATACTTTAGAAGAAATGAGATTGCATCATGGAAACATTGATTATTTAAAGAAGGAGCAAGAAATACTTGGTGACTCCTCATTAGTACAATTGAAAGTATGAAGAACATACTGAGCTTCCATATTTGGTGCTGGCCATTCCACTTAGGTTTAAAGTCTTGGCTTCATAAGCAAGTGCTACAACTTCACAGGCTTTTGGGGTTCGCCGACATAACGATTTCCTTCAGGCTGAGTGCCGCCTGTGCCACTGTGCTCCCCACCCAGTGTTTGAAGAGTGGATAGGGTACAGCCGTGCAGCCCCCCAGACACCTGAGTTCAGAATATTTCTGCACTTTGCTTCATTTCTGGGCTCCACGGAAAGCTGGAAGCTCCCCAACTCTCTCTTGGGCTTGGTTCCTGCTCACGTGTTTTCTGGTCTCATGTCACTGTGCAGGAAGTCATAGTCCCACACGCACCATCCACGATAGCAAGATCTGTGTTGTTCGGTGCGAGTTTTCTAACGAGGACATTTTGGGCCTTCCAACAACTCCTGAAGGAAAGCGGTTTGGAACTGACCACTAGTTTCCGAGGCGAAGGAGGCTAGGACAGTATGCACTTCTCCAACAAGATTAAAGCTACTTTTAGGAGACAATTAAAGGACAACTGCCTAAGAAAAATAAACTTTTGCCTCACACATTTATCCGAATGTATATATGTATACAGTATAGAAAAATGCCTCCAATTCACAGTTTAAAAATATCAGTTACTGTTTCAGCGTTTTACTCTGAATGGTGCTAGTGTTTGCCACTGAGGACTGTTAATTTTAGTGACATTTCTCTGCAGCAAAATCTGATGAGTTTATGAAGTTTGAGAGCCAGGAAATGCAACTCAGTTTCTGAACAACTGAGAAAGCCAAGAGAGTTAAGCTCAGTCATCTACTTGCTTTAGAGCGTGGATTTGCAAGTGCTAAGTGCCATAACACTGATTCAGAGAGAGAGAGAAGCCAAACCAAACCTTTAAAATACAGCTCTTAAACTATCAGGCTTAACTTCCCGCCATATTACCAGCAGGTGAAATTCTGGCACACGACACAGTGATTTGTGAATGTTAACGTCAAATTAATGGGCATATGTGCCAACATTTTCTAGAATTTTAGAGCAGGAGGGATATTGGAGGGCTTCCAGGCTTATATTCTATTTTACCAACAGAGAAACTGAGACTCATATGAGCTCTCTCTCCCCCCTGCCCCCTCCCACCCTGAACACGCACACACACACACACCACATTTCTGAGTCTTGTGCTGAGTCATTGCTTACAGAGAATATCATAGATCTTAAAAAAAAGAAAGGACAAAATGACCCAGAGCCGGGCCAGTGGTCCCCTGATCCATCCAAGTTTGTGTGGCCCAGCTTCAGGGCTATGGGCCAACAATATGTCTTCGCTTCAGGAACTACCCAGGGTCTCAGATTAAATATTTTTGGCCAAAACTTGAATAAACTGCAAAACAAACCCAGGATCATCACCAAATGACTCAGGTCCCGATTATACCGTGATGCTCAGTCAACGTGTGGCAGTTACTGGGGCCACATTGTGATGAGAGCATAAGATGCAGACAAAGCCCAAGGAGCACCCCTCGTGCTGAGGAACAATCTCAAGACCTGCCTGGAGAGACGAGGCATTCACCGTGCGGGCAGTGGTGACAGCAGCGGAGACGGCGTGACTCCAGGCCACGTCGTGGGGCACGCATTTTAAATGCTGTGAGAGTTCTAGTGAGAGATGGATGAAAATTGGGATCGTCCGGGAACGAGACTTCAGCTGATCCAGTGTTCCTGAATGAAATTTGAATATGCGGAGGGAAAAACGGTAGACTTTTCTAGATAAAGAAGAACAGCTTGGGGAAGGTCTCATGGGTGGGAACCCAAAGAAGCCAGGCTGATAAGTTCTCTCCAGCATCTCCCGATGCGATCAATGGACCGTGGAGCCCCCAATATTGACTTGCATTATTATCTACTGAACTGTTACTGAGATAAGTACTCAAAAAACCTAGTATAAATTACTTGAATTATATTTATAGAACTATAAATCCACAGGAATATCATTATATTTATTTTATTGAAAATCTAAAATAAACGGCTAATTAGATATAAACAAAACCATAAACCAATAATATTCCACTTAATAATATTAATTTTATTTGCCAGATGATGATGCTGTTTTGCCGAACTAAAGAACTTGTTTCAACCAAGTGTTCCTGAATGAAATTATAGAGAAAAGAACTATTTTAATACAAAATTTCTATTGTGCATTTAGTACTATGCCCATTTATAATGAATTATCACACGTCGGCAGGTGTAAAGGAAGAAAGGATCCAGGCAAGACATCTTCTGGGGTCGAGATCATGGGCCGAGAACTGATGATGGCTCAGTCATCCGATCACCTTGTTCTGTTCTGGCAAACACACCTCATGCGGCTGGCAGGACGTCTCTGGCTCGTACGAGCATACGTGTATTAAGCAGTTCTTTGGGCTGCCTCTGTTCGTTTTTCAACAGCCTATAACAATTACATTATTACATTATTCTCCCATCCATTATCATTTTAATGATGACAAGTCAAAGTCTCTATTTATAAAATTAATGAAAACTCTAGTCTCATTCCATGAAAATGTCTTTTGATTGTAAATTACCACTGCAGGGCAAGTTTTATCCTTATTACATAGGCTAAAAAAAAAAAGAAAAAAGAAAAAAAAAATCAACGCAAGTAATAATGATCGCCAGTGTTTAGTTTGCATGGAATCCTCACGTTAACCCTGAGGGTTAGATACTGTTTTTAATCGTCATTTTTCAGAGGAGGATACTGAGGAACAGAGAAATGAAATAACTCGTTCAAGGTCACATGGCCAGTGACCGCTGTTGTCTGGAATTCAAGCATCTAATTCTGCTGCTTTCTGTAGAAGATTCAGAATAATCATAGGGAGGAGGTTGTTATTTTAACATTAGGCTGTGCCAGCACGACCACAGCCAGATAGATGCTTATGGCCTCACATTCACACGTAAACTTTTACTTCAGTAGGTCACAGAGGAGCCATGCTTAACTATAAATGTAAACATTTGTCTATCCCCCTGGAACATATAGGTGTCTGTGTGATCATAATTTGTAACGTCAGAGACGTGAAATAGAGAATATAAAAGTTCTCCTAGAACTCATCAATTCCCAAGAGAGAAGCACAGGGAGTGGTGATCACAAAGCCCGCTGGGCTGGGTGTGCCAGGTGACAGAGGGTGGCGTAAGGGGTGGAGGAGTCAAGCTTCTGCCTGGAATGGAAAGAGCTGTGATAAGGACTCTGTGGGAGGAAGAGGCCAGCTCCCAGGAGCCTCTGCTGTAGCAATCTCTATGTAGGACGGAAGCTTCTAGAACAGAGGGAAGAACCTGGAACTGCCCACGTTTAACCTGAGTCACCAGGGTCCGTTCAGAGCGAGAAAAGATTCCATATCTATTGTGCTGAGGTCAATAATCTCCACCCATTACCTCTGAGAGCCCTCTGCGTAGACCAACACGCACTGTCCTCACCAGTGCAGAGGTCAGAACGCTCCAAATGAAATGCTTTAATATCTACATAGGCACAAGAAATATTTATAAATGTAAAGGAAGTTTTGAGTTATTAGTGTTTGTCATTTTCCTAGTCTTATATTTCCTTATAAGACATATCTTATATTTCCGCTTCTATCTTGTGTATCATATCCACATTTATGTGTAACACGTATACGTTAAAAAGTGCTATTCACGGCTACAGAGTTGCTTCATCAAATACTTAATGCATTAAATTAGGTGTTTTCTCCTTTTCAAGTATCTAAATTGATTTTAGTCGCTTATATTTTTCAACTGTCATAAGGGCAGAGTAGAAGCAGATTGCAACTCATCAAATAATAGCTTGCAGCAACTTTAGAAGATTTTATGATTCAGCATACACTTCCTTTAAAAGAGATCTCATAACCTAGAATAAGACGTCACTCAGCTTTTAAACCTGAAGCACTTTGCAAACGTTTAAAAAGAAACTCTTTTTTTATTGTTTTTACGAAATCCAGTCAACGAATAATAAGAAATGAATCTGATAGAAAGTCTTTCTCTTGATGGAGAGTCAAATGGAAGCTTCTACAGGACTGAATTACCCACGGTGCTTCAGAGTCTCTCGCGAATGTTGTAAGAAAATTGGCCTAGGTGAAATTTAGAGACTCTTCCTCCTAATAATGTGCTTCTTTGAGGCTGTGAAAGGAGAAGAGAAATCTCTGATAAAACGCAACTGACGGCTCGTTTGCTTTCCCTCATTGTAGGTGCCGACGGCCACCCACCATCATCTGAAGAAGGAGAATTTGGCAAATGACATGCAAGTTTTCCAAGACAGAGTAATTGCAGAAAATCTTCAAAGGTATTCATATCAAATATTTATCTCTTGAGTAACGGAACCAAGGCGCTAATTAAACCTGAGCACTCCATGTCACTTGAAGCGGGGAATATTTCATGGATGGGGAATTGTAAGAACTTTGAGGAGTTGATTGCCCTGTTCTTTCCTGTGGTCTCATCCTTCTTGGCCGAGAGCCAAAAGGGTCCTTGAACGTGGCGGAGCCATTTTATGAAATTAGCATTTGGTAATGATGCAAGAGCCATCTGAAAAATGGCCATCCGGAGAATCATGTAACTGTACTAACATGTCATGAGCTGTTCAGTAAGCTTAGGAGAATTAGAGGGACAGTGAATGGCAGGCCAAGTATGTCTAGTCATCCATCAGGAGTGAAAACTGTACAGGTGTCACCTGGCTTGTTCACAGCTTGCCTTCACAGTTTCTTGCCTTGGCCATATAAACATTAGTGCCAAGAGTGTTATGGGGCCGGAGAGAATTACAGACTCCCCCTGGCAATACAACCGTGGTTGCAAAAACATTCTTAGGGATGTGGAATCATGTGAGTTTACACCCCATGAGTCTTTTCTCAAATGTCAATATTGAAAATTGTTTCCTTCCACCCCCGACCGAAACTAATGCGATGGAAACTGTTGGGTTCTTCTTGATTTCGAATTGCAGCTCTTCAAAATCTGCCCCTCGTTTGATTCATTCTAAGCCTCGTGTTGACCCAGGTTGGTTTGGGAAAAGTCCTCTAATCACCAAACAGTTCATGAACCTCATACAACAAAACAAAACGACGAAAAAATCTTCAAACAAGTCTGGCCTGAATTTCAGATTTGTCTTTAGAGGCTTTATCCAATTTAGTATAAATTAAAAATTTATTCTAATAGTTATGAATTTAAACATTTTTCCTTCGTACTACAAATGGCGAGTGAAGACACGAAATGGCTGGACGTATATGGGAGACTGGAGAATCACCAGTAATGTATCCAGAAGCTGGGCAGCCACGAGAGAAGACAAGTTGAAGTTTAGGTCTCCCTACTTCAAAATTCTAAACAGGAGAGGGAAATATTCCAAAACAGAAACTAAAAAAGATAGTGGTTTAGAAATAAGTTCAATAAACAGTAGAACTATGACTTCTTAAGAGTTTTTCATCTTCTGGGGTCGGTTTTCCATACTTTTTCTTTGTGAACCTCTAGCCCAATGCTTCACTTTTTCTGTAGGAAAGACAGAGGCTGGCCTTCTGTATCATACCATTCAAAATTAACTGTAGAAGAGGATGGAAAACCCTTAATACTGGAGCTCACCCTACATCTTCCCAAGAAGTCACTGAAGACCAGATTTTTCAAAGCCATCTGTCCTAGTTTCTCTTGTGTACGGAGAGGCCACTTTTCTGGGATGCCATGTTATTTACTGCCTGGTCAATAACCTTTTGTTTCACACTTTTTCCCCTTTGATGGGTAATTTTACCACTTTAAGCATTATATCTTTTTCATTTCTCAGCATGTCCTTACTATGAGAAAATAAAAATGTGTGTACTCTAATGCTGGATCAAGCTAGAATCACTTGCTCGAATTTAACACACCTAACACTTATTTCTTAAAAATCTGTGAACCCCCTATGAGAACAGGCTCCAGACTGCTTGCTCCGGCTTAGCACTAGAAAATTCAAAGTCGGACCAGCTGCCAGCTTCAGAGATCTCTGCCCTCCTCCTCTATCATTTGAGTTGGATTAGATAGGTAGCTCAGTCACCTCCCACCACCACATCTGTATTCATAGGTCCACAATCCTCCCATCTGGTAAATGTTGTAGAAAGAAATTGGTCCTTTCAGTGTGTGCTCAGACAGCCAGGTTTATACAATAAGGACCACTTTACTGGGACTTCGGGTTTCAAAATGCTGCCCTGTGCGTTTTTGATTGCCTCTCTGCTCTCGTCCTCTGGGTATAAAGTTCTTTCATTTAATATTTTTCCAGCTTTAAAAACTGCTTACCTGCAACTGCAGTTCATTGAACTTGGCTTCACCTCCAAAATACATAACGTGAAAAGCAGAACCAGGAGATGTTATAAGCAAATCTCAGAAGCTGCCCAAGCATCTCCTGCCTGTTGGATTGCCAGAAGATTCCCTCTTGTTCCAAGGAGAGATAGGTTGTAATCACATATAATAAGACACCAAAAGGACAATTAAATTTCATGGCTTGGGGGAGACGTAGAGGGTTCTTGTCGAAAATGTTCACACCTGCAGAACAGACTGCTGTTTTTTGTGGAACCTAGTTTTCAGCTTGAAATACACCTGCCAAAATCTGAATGGCTGTTATTATACCTTCTGGACTCAAACACTGCCCTGTCAGATGAAGTTTGGTGCACACAAATGGGATAACTTAGAACAGTGACTATGTTGTTTGTAAGGAAATTAAGGCCTATTGATGCCTATTCGGGATGGAAAATTTTATTATAAGCCTGCCTTAGCTGTGCTTCCCTGGCATTTTATTTTTTTATGTTACTTTAATTATTTAAGTTATACTCAATTTCAGTGATTTAAAAAAAATAGTCCATAGACTATAATAGTAAACTACATCTTGTCAAGGAATCAGTTTCCAATGTGGACCCTAAAAACGCTAAAATTATCCTTGTCTTGGTAACCAGTGAATATTGAAAGTTTAGCGCGGAATAAAAAGAGCTGATTTTAGGTGCCGAGAAGCAGACTCTTACTTAGCGATCACTCTTACCCTTCACATTTTATTTCACAGAACCCTAAAGTTAGTTAAAATGTATTTGTTGTAAAAACAGTAAATTAGCTACCTAACATGAGATTTTTTTTAAGAGTTCAAAAAACCACGCACGCTTAACCCAAGTCCACAAGCCTTTTCTATATGAATATATGCTATGTGAAATCATAGAAAATTGCTGCTATTCGACTATTTTTGACCTACAAAAGCCCCAGTTTCATAGGTGCTACCTAATATTTTACATAATGGGAAACTTAAAGAATGTACAATTTTATTCATTTTTTTTCACTTAATTTTATGGCAAGACAATTTATAATTTCTGCATTGTCTGTATAGTTCATAGTTTAAATTCATGCAAATGGATATGAGACGCATAAGTTGATGCGGGACATATAAGTTGATTTTGCTTTTTTCCTGTGAAAGATAATACTCAAAAAAAAAAAAAATATAAGTTGATGTGGGACATATAAGTTGATTTTGCTTTTTTCCTATGAAAGATAATACTCAAAAAAAAAAAAAAATACCCCGCACACAATCAATACCTTCCCTGATACAGCTATCCTATTGGGTTTCAATCTAATGCCAGTGTTTAAACTAGTGTCTCCTGCATCATCTTTCATCCCTCTGAAACTGAACATTTTACATGAGAGTCTGCAGTACAAATCTTAGTGATAGAGTAAGCATCACTGGGCACAAGGATACTACCTGCATGCACGTATGGACACAGTTAAATGGGTCATACCTTCCTTGATACAGCTATCCTACTGGGTTACAATCTAATGCCATTGTTTAAACTAGTGTCTCCTGCATCATCTTTCATCCCTCTGAAACTGAACATTTTACATGAGAGTCTGCAGTACAAATCTTAGTGATAGAGTAAGCATCACTGGGCACAAGGATACTACCTGCATGCACGTATGGACACAGTTAAATGGGTCTGTGTAGACAATACATCTGCAAAGCTAACCAGTTTGTGTTTAAAGAAAACACCAAGCTCCAATAGGAGGAGAAGCACTGGGCTCGTCAGGCTGTGCCTCTCTCAGCTGGCATCTCTCCATTCTCATCTGACTGAGACCTGTCCCGCAGACGGCCCTCTCAGTACGCTTTGGCTGCCAACAGAATAGTGCTTTGTCTAGTACGGCGAGGAAGCAAACTCCAGGGATGTTGACCCACCCGAGGAAATCCCTTTGCTCTTGCCCTAGTGATATGTTCAGGCAGGAAGTTAAGAGGAAAATAGCTATTCCCCTGGAGATGAGGGTGGAGAGTGGGAGAGAGGGAGGGATCAGTTTAATTATGATGAGTGTGGGGGTGGGAGGACCCGAGCAGTCACAGTGAAGAGCAAGAAAAAAGAATGGGATGATGTCATTCTTTACTGGGACAGTCAGTGAAATGAAATCAGGTCACACACATGGTCTTGTTCTGTGCCCAGATCTGTAAGTGTTACAAAGAGATTACTTTGTAGTAACACTTTTTAGGAAGGGCCCAAGGACCCTTCTCACATTAGGATTTCCCCCGAGACATCGTCAGAACAGACACAAAGGGCAGAATCATCCACCCAGTGTGAATGGCCTACACTGGGTGTACAGCATTTGTTGAAGATCGCTAAGCCACAGTTTAGTATAGAAAAATTGTCCAGATTCTTACGACACAGTGAATTTCTAGAAGCAGAATGCAACTGTACAACTTGGTGTCAGGCCAGATGTTTTCAATCGGTGCCCTTTTTTGCAAGATCATTTCGAACGGCAATCTGAGGTGAAGAGGGAATATGTTTCTAAGGAGAAAGTTGTCACTTCCTGAAAAAAATACTGTCTTGTATTTTGTTATGGCATTTTTAGGACTGATTAATTCTGCTTACAGAGAAAGCATTTGAGCTGTCTTGATCTTGAGTTTCTAGAACCACTGGTGGCAGATATATTCAATTTTAGGCGCTTTTTCTCTCTATGGTGTCCTCATTTAACCTCATTCGTCTACTTAGATTTCACGAGAGGGCATCGCAATTACACATAGAGGTTAGATTTTCTAGGAAGTCATCCCTGGAATAATTAGGTGATAGGGTCAGTTCCTGTGATTAAGATTCTGTTGTTACTGCATTAATAGGGCTTAAAACAAGTAAGTCATTGACCGAGGGGTATTTTTTTTTTTTTAATTAGAATATTTTTGCTGTGAGTATTTATAATAGAACTGGAACACTGTAGGCTTTTGACATTGGCATCTGCTGTTTAGAGAATTTGCAAAACTCAGTATTCGATTTTGAAAAACCACTGGTTTTCGGGTGTGTATATATTCAGGGGCAAAGTCCT